CTGGCAGGCTTGCACCTGGCACGGGCACCGTAGCCAGCCCGTGCCCCTTTAAGGGGTCCGGGGCCGGGAGGGGGGCAATAGAGTTTCCCTGGTGTTGGCCAGAGTGGCCACCAGGGAAAGCTGGGGAGGGCTAGCCTCCCACTAGTTCGCATTAAGGGGCTACACACCCCTTAATTCGAACTAGTAAGTTCGAACTAAGCTTAGTCCTCGTAGAATGAGGTTTACCTAGTTCGAACTAAGCGCTCCGCTAGTGTAGCGCCTATCAAAGTTAATTCGAACTAACATCCGTTAGTTCGAATTAACTTTGTAGTGTAGACATACCCTCAGATAACTTATCTTCAAGTCACCAGGGCCTGAATACTAAAATATTCAAGAAGCTGACTGAGAAGCTATCAGCAAGCACATATGATTCACAAATTAATAGGATAGTGCCATACTGGCCTGTTAATGTTCAAGGTGCAACATTTGATGGCTCAGTTGCTCCACCCATAAAATGGGGAAAATATTGTTTACTTTTTGTGAAGCAGTTTGAGATACTCTGGTAAAATATACTGTTGTAAATTATGTGAGGTAGGCATTATGTTTTCTTCTGTCTCCTGTGGAGCATTTTCAGCACCTGTTCAATAAATACAATGGCTTATTAACTTTATCTTTTTTTATCTGCAATAGTAAGAAAATAGTGTGTGAGAGTCCATATATTTTCCCTATATAAGTATCCATAAATCCCAGATTTTTCTCAGTGGTGTTGCTTTGCTCAGCATTGCAGTGCCTGAGTCATCAAAAGTTACTTAGGTTCTTAAGAGCCTAATTCCCATTGATAGTCATGATAATCTAAAAGTATGCCAAATTATTTTTAAAGCATCCTTTAATAACACAGGGCCAAATTCTGAAGTCAATGGAGGTACTCCAGATTTATATCACAGATAGATTTTGGCCTATAATTTTCATTTTATTAGATCACAGTGCACTTACTGTGGTTTTTTTCTCCAAATGTTGACTCAAAACAGGAAACAGGAAACTAAATGGGTGAGCCAGTACATATTATGAGTGCTGCTGGATTACTATTAGCAATGAGGGGATTCTAGCAGGAAACTAATTTTTATATCCGCATTGAAGAATACAAGGATACGTGTTGGTTGAATTTGCTTAAAAGAAGAAAAATAGTTATGTAACTAGTCTTTAAATGTAATATTAATTGTTAAATGTTCTAACTAATACAGATATGAAAAAAATAAACTTGTAAACTAAACCAGTGCAAACTTTTTAAAACGACATGTTATTTAAAAATATTTTCATTTCCAGATAAATTTTGGCGGTATATGTTGTTGTAATAAGGGTGAAAAAGTATTTCTAACCAAGCATTCAGACCCTAAAACTGTGAGGCTACAGTCAGCCTGAATGCTGTTTTAAACAAGAAAAACAACATACAAACGTCACATTTTCCATTCTTGATGCACCAGGTGAATGGGTTATTTTACTAAGCATTTACATTGTGGTGGGAGGGGAAACCAGAGGAAGGGTGTGTCAAGGGTGAGGAGAGAGTGAGCCAGCACCCAGTGTTGTTTCAATAGCCGTCAGTACTTGGAGCTCCAAGGTATACTTCATCAATCTGTACAATGTGGCCAGCCATTAGTTAAGTGTGTTGCTGTGGCAGCAAATTCACATGCTGTCAGAGGCAGCAGAAGTAAGTTTGTAAAAGAAGTTTGCACAAGCAAATGTAAATGCCTTTCAGAGTAAATGTACTGTTGGTTCTTTTCCCCTCCCTTCACCTGCCATCATGTACATGTTTTCAAACCTTTCGTTATAGTTTTAAGTGTAACTTTAAATTTGAATTCCTTATTTTAAAATTCCTTTTAGCAATATTGTTTTCCCTTTAAATTATTGATAAACATCTACAAGCTTTCTACTGTGTTTTATTGGGGTTTACCAATCTTAACATTTACAATATCTATGTGATGATGGCGTTCTGTCAACAGGAAAACTACAGAAATGAGAGTTCATCCACTCCTGAAGTCCTAAAATAATAGGCTCACTTGCTTATGTTATCTGTTTACTATAGAAGTGTTTTTATGTGACTGCACTGTATTTACTTTTTCTGTTGCACATGAAATATCCAGTTACCATAGCAACTCTTACCTCACTAAGTATTTACCCCTGCATGCTATATTAACTACAAACAGAGAACACCCAAAGAAACAATCACAGTGGTCTGTCAGGTGGATGTAATGACCCGGAAAAACAGATACTTGAAAATCCTGTTAACAATAGCCCTGCTCTCCCATGTCCAAGATCTGGGCCCAAAGGGGATCCTCCAACTGGGGAATCTCTTTCTTTCCAGATAGAAGTCCCAAGTCCCATGAAGCAATCTCTGTGGGGGTGGAGAAGTGGCCTGGAGTCAACATGGACCATACATCAGATAGGAGGAGATGCACAACTTTCTCCTTGAAATACATCCCATATTTTACATTATTTAGCAAAGGTTCCATTGTGCTTTGTGTAGTGGGAGCTTTACAACCCCCCCTTCCCCCAAAATTGTTTCTACTTCAGCCTGATCTAAGACATGTAAATTTATCATGGCAAACAATAAAGAAGGGAAGATAAGGGTATGAACAATATGCTCACAGAGTTATATAGGCTAGCTTCATGGTTCCAGATCACTTAAAGGTATTGTGGGGAGAAAGATTTTTTTTATTTGGGGTGGTGAATGTGGAAGGTGGTTATTTGTGGTTTTGGTTTTGGCAGGATCTTTTCAAAGGCTCGGTGGATTTTTTTTTTTCTGGTTGCCTGATTTCATGTATTTACAGCACTGATAGAAGTGGGTCAAAAGGAGAAAGGACAATAACTTGCCAACTAGTCCATGGAGGGAGTTCTATGCATATAATTGTGGAAGAAGCAGATGAACTGCTGGTATAGGCTGGTATTTTTGGACAATAATAGGGAAGTGAAGAGCAACATAATAAGAAACAAGTAGATAAGTGGAGAGTATAAGTATGATCCTGCACCAATGAAATCAGTGCGAATTTTGCCAACAACTTCAGTGGTTGCAGGATCAAATCATCTGTGTACCTGTTGTTTACAGCTCAGTCAACAAAAATGTGAGAGTTTCTCCTGTAAGCTCTGTAGAAGCAATTAGCTAACAAACATTTACTGAGGATTATCATTATTTTAGTTTTTGAACACAGAGTAAATAACAGCCATGATCTCGTTTTTGTGCCTCACTCCCTTGACTAGCAATAAAAAAAAAGAGACTACTATAGATGCAGTAAGCCTAGTTCTGGGAAGAGGAGAATATCTTGAAGTGCTCTTGAGCTATTTTCATTACTTGACAAGCCAAGTGATATTGACAGGGTCATTGATTATTCAAGACATATGCTTGGTAAAATTGTGGTCAGATAAAATTATTTCATTCAGGATATGGTTGCTGTTATTTAGAGTTGCAATCAATTTCCCTGCTTAAATTCTTAGTCTACTTTGTACTGTTAATTATAAAAGTGTTATCCTTCTATTGTGCATTGACAATTTCGAACAGCTGTAAAGAAACAAAAAAAATGAGTGTTTGTTTATTCACAGGACATGTTCTTATAGAGATTTCAAGTACAAACAAGAAACTTAATGACAGTCTAGAAGAAAGTGTAAGTGTTTTTTACTGTATCTAACATTTTTGAAATAAAAAAGATTTACTTTAATTTTAATAACCCTATTATTTACTTTTAAAGTTCAAGAAATTTCATAAAGAGATTATATCTGAACTGGAGAAGAAGACAGAACTGGATGTAAAATATATGAATGTAAGTACACTGAATTTAATAACAGATAAGAAAGACCATATATTTAGTTGCACTGAGTGTAGTCATAGCAACAGTTTGTGTCTTTTAAAAATAATTTACAAAAGGAGCATTTGATCTTTAACTTCTGAAAGATGTTTTCAACTTTGGTTTATTTAAGAAGTTATTCAGTAATGTACAACTGTATATTAGAGAATACTATCTAAATCCTAAATTTAAAAAATTGTAACATTTTTCATTTATTTTAGTTGTAAAATGAAAAGCCTGAAAGTGACCACCCCACACTGAAAACAAGAGGGATGGTGTTTAGGCTTGCCAGAGGAAAGCAGTGGTGCTTTGTGGTTAGGAGAGGGAGAAAGAGAGAGAAGCAAGGTCAGAAACCGCTGTAAAAAGGTGGATGGTAGTCACTTTAAAGCACTGGGAATGTAAGGGCAGAAAGCTTTAAAGGTGCAAGCCTTGACATTGGAAATCCCTTTCTCCATGCAACAGACAAGGCAGCACTCATCCTCTCTCCCCTTTTAGTATGATTATGAAGTGGGGTTTGAACCTGCAGTGGGCATTGTGCTAATCGCTCCTTTCTAGTGAAGCTGGGAAGGAATTTTTTCCCTGACCACCAGATTGGGTTTGGTGGAGTGTTTTTTGTTTTTGTTTTTGTTTTGTTTTTGTGTCAGGGAAGACCTATGTGATGAGCACAAAAGGTGTGGTAGGCCATATGTTGCAACTTAGACCAGGTCTGTACCTCATGGGGAAGGTCAGTGTTCGATTTAATTGGTCTTTTTCTATACTCACTAAATCAAATCCTGAAAGATCGATCACCAGAGCATCAATCCTCCAATAAGTGGAGATGTGGCCTTACTTAGTAAATGTGGGATGGGTGTCCAGTGTGGTTACTTCATGGGGAAGGCTTCCAGTGACCAGATAATTGGCATGGTAAAAGCGTTAAAAAGGAGGTGCTCATTAAAGGAAGAGAATGGGGTGGAGTTTGGGGCACAGAGCCATATCTCCTTTCTTATAGCCCATCTCACCCCACCTACAACGAGGGGTGGATCATAAGGTCCTGGCAATGGATTTGCTGGAGGAACCTGAATGGGAAAAGTGGGGTATGGTGAGGTCCCAGCAATAGATGTGCTAGAGGGACTTGGATACAAAAAAATGGGAAGCTGGTGGAGACCTACAGGTATTTACAGAATAAATAGGGGTATATCTGCACTGTACACTGTTGTCTGCTGGGTAGTTCCAGACATCAAATAATAAAGTTACAGCCTGATTAACTCCATATCAGGTGTCTTTTGCCCTTCTTTCAGTGTGGCTGGACAATGAATTAAGAGTGGAATTTTGCTTTAAACTAGATCTGCCAACCTGAAGGAAAAAAGTAATTGACACATTTGTAGCTTTAATGTTAATCCAAATCCTCATAATAATACAGCGGGATTTCTTAGCTGCCTACTTTTGTGCTCTGATAAGTTATATTGTTGTATGCACTGTAAAACACTTAAATGCTTGGCTTGCAGGCAACTTTAAAGCGATACCAAACAGAACACAGAAGCAAGTTAGATTCATTGGAGAAATCTCAGTCTGAGCTGAAAAAAATCAGAAAGAAAAGTCAAGGTGGAAGAACTGCATTGAAATATGAGAATAAAGAAATTGAGGTATTCGCTACTCTTACTTGTTCACTTTTCTCTTCTAACCAGTTTCAGGGAAATGATCAATACATTCTGATGAATCCACTTTATAGCTTCATTTCTAAAACTGACCTTGATTTCTATGCCTGCAATATATTTAATTAATTATTATCATATTGAATAATTCCTATATTACTTGTTTGGCAACAGTTATGCAGAAGAACTTCAAAGAGGTAATTGTTGCTTTTGATTTTTTTTCCAAGTTATTTTGGGTTAAGGAGATGACTAGCAAATGTAATAAAAAAACTGATATTAAGGCTTATGGTCTTATCCTATACTCATTATGTGGAGCCCCATTGATTACATTATTTGTAGGATCAAGCCTTGGAGTTTGTTTTTAACCAAGCTTATATTTTTGCATTAGCAATTAATTGTGGGTTGTTGGATTTCTGGCTATTGGATTTATGATCGACATCAAGTATAGCCAGGATATCCGAATTGTACTACCTGTGACCTCAGTTAGTTGGGATTTATTATGTATTCCGGTATACATGAGTTTGAATTCTTTATTGTGCCTAAGCATGTTCAGACCCAGTGAGGGGCAAAGATGGGTTCACAGAGACTCAGTCACAGCTCTTTGTTTCTGTTGTTCCTGTCCTTCACATAACATAAAGCAGCAGGGGGACGGCTTTCAGTTATGCTCTTGGCAGAAGACATCTACCAGCAGAGAATCAGAACTAGTAGAGCCTTATGTCATCACACCCCTCCTCTTCGTTCCAGTGTCAAACATCCTCTCTGCCATTGTATCTCCAACCCGAAGCTCCTTTACACGAGATAGCACAGCTTCAGTGGAGCATGTGGTGTCAGCAAATGGCAGAATAAGTGCAGGAGGTATTACTATTCTACAGAGGGTATTGTGCTGCCATCTTAAAGGAGAGACATAAAACTTTGAACTATTTGTGGTAATCTTTTGTAAAAGATGAGTGTTAGCTTCTCTGTGTTCATATAACAGTGGCTGTAGCAACAACGGGCTAAGTTAAACTAGAGTGTAGTTTGTGCATCAGTTGAAGTTTTTGATGTGCTTTGGAAGTCTTCATTTTTATAGGTGCTATGCTAAAAATAACATCATCTCTCAGGGTATGTCGACGGTTGCCAGTTGTCCGGTATTCAACCAGACAGTCTGTTTTTTGCACTCTCTGTCTAGTAAAAAGAATTCAGAAAATACCGGACATGTGCAAAATTCAGAAAATACCGGATTACGGCCCCACTTCCCCAGCCGCTCCCCCTCTCCTCCACCAGGCTTCTGCACGCAAGCAGCTGAGGGCTCCCAGCACCAATCGCACCGCCTCCCCAGCCACTTCCTCCGCCAGGCTTCCACATGCAACCAGCTGAGGGCTCCTCAGCTGGTTGCATCTCCTTGCGTCTGACATAGAAGTGACACTTGGGAAGGAGGCGGAGCCCTGTCCGAGCTCCTGAGTGCTGTTCAAGCACATTGTGCAGCCGTAATCTGGGAGAGAAGCCCGCAGATGCTTTGTGGTTGCATTTAGGTGCCTTTCATGGTCTGTCAGAGGCTGGACAATGAATTAAGAGTGGAATTTTGCTTTAAACTAGATCTGCCAACCTGAAGGAAAAAAGTAATTGACACATTTGTAGCTTTAATGTTAATCCAAATCCTCATAATAATACAGCGGGATTTCTTAGCTGCCTACTTTTGTGCTCTGATAAGTTATATTGTTGTATGCACTGTAAAACACTTAAATGCTTGGCTTGCAGGCAACTTTAAAGCGATACCAAACAGAACACAGAAGCAAGTTAGATTCATTGGAGAAATCTCAGTCTGAGCTGAAAAAAATCAGAAAGAAAAGTCAAGGTGGAAGAACTGCATTGAAATATGAGAATAAAGAAATTGAGGTATTCGCTACTCTTACTTGTTCACTTTTCTCTTCTAACCAGTTTCAGGGAAATGATCAATACATTCTGATGAATCCACTTTATAGCTTCATTTCTAAAACTGACCTTGATTTCTATGCCTGCAATATATTTAATTAATTATTATCATATTGAATAATTCCTATATTACTTGTTTGGCAACAGTTATGCAGAAGAACTTCAAAGAGGTAATTGTTGCTTTTGATTTTTTTTCCAAGTTATTTTGGGTTAAGGAGATGACTAGCAAATGTAATAAAAAAACTGATATTAAGGCTTATGGTCTTATCCTATACTCATTATGTGGAGCCCCATTGATTACATTATTTGTAGGATCAAGCCTTGGAGTTTGTTTTTAACCAAGCTTATATTTTTGCATTAGCAATTAATTGTGGGTTGTTGGATTTCTGGCTATTGGATTTATGATCGACATCAAGTATAGCCAGGATATCCGAATTGTACTACCTGTGACCTCAGTTAGTTGGGATTTATTATGTATTCCGGTATACATGAGTTTGAATTCTTTATTGTGCCTAAGCATGTTCAGACCCAGTGAGGGGCAAAGATGGGTTCACAGAGACTCAGTCACAGCTCTTTGTTTCTGTTGTTCCTGTCCTTCACATAACATAAAGCAGCAGGGGGACGGCTTTCAGTTATGCTCTTGGCAGAAGACATCTACCAGCAGAGAATCAGAACTAGTAGAGCCTTATGTCATCACACCCCTCCTCTTCGTTCCAGTGTCAAACATCCTCTCTGCCATTGTATCTCCAACCCGAAGCTCCTTTACACGAGATAGCACAGCTTCAGTGGAGCATGTGGTGTCAGCAAATGGCAGAATAAGTGCAGGAGGTATTACTATTCTACAGAGGGTATTGTGCTGCCATCTTAAAGGAGAGACATAAAACTTTGAACTATTTGTGGTAATCTTTTGTAAAAGATGAGTGTTAGCTTCTCTGTGTTCATATAACAGTGGCTGTAGCAACAACGGGCTAAGTTAAACTAGAGTGTAGTTTGTGCATCAGTTGAAGTTTTTGATGTGCTTTGGAAGTCTTCATTTTTATAGGTGCTATGCTAAAAATAACATCATCTCTCAGGGTATGTCGACGGTTGCCAGTTGTCCGGTATTCAACCAGACAGTCTGTTTTTTGCACTCTCTGTCTAGTAAAAAGAATTCAGAAAATACCGGACATGTGCAAAATTCAGAAAATACCGGATTACGGCCCCACTTCCCCAGCCGCTCCCCCTCTCCTCCACCAGGCTTCTGCACGCAAGCAGCTGAGGGCTCCCAGCACCAATCGCACCGCCTCCCCAGCCACTTCCTCCGCCAGGCTTCCACATGCAACCAGCTGAGGGCTCCTCAGCTGGTTGCATCTCCTTGCGTCTGACATAGAAGTGACACTTGGGAAGGAGGCGGAGCCCTGTCCGAGCTCCTGAGTGCTGTTCAAGCACATTGTGCAGCCGTAATCTGGGAGAGAAGCCCGCAGATGCTTTGTGGTTGCATTTAGGTGCCTTTCATGGTCTGTCAGACAAAACTGACTGGGGTGGAATTTCTGCCTCTTCCCACTGAGCCACCCAAAGACCTGGCTATAGGCAAGTCACCTTCCTACCCACACTTGCTGCCTGAGTTCAGAGTTCCCCCCGGCCGCCCTGCAGCCCTGCCATTGCGTTGCCCTGGGGTCTGCTTCTGCTTTGGGTAGCAAGCGGCTGCTTTGCAGAGCAGGCTCTGCTGCCTCCCATGTCATTCCCAGCTTGGTGGCTCTTGGTAGTAGCCACCCAGGACCTGACCTCTGCCCGCTCTGAGTAGTGTAATCGGGCCATAGGGAGTGGAGCTGGGCTGGACTCAGGCGCTTTGTGACCCAGGCTCCCTTCTATGGGCAAGGAGCACTGATAAGAGCCAAGCTACATGCAGAGCTCTTCTTCAGGTCTGAGAGCAGGGCTCGGTTTAGTGTTGCACCAGTGTTGCACCAGCAGCTCTTTAGCAAAGGTACTTGGGTGTAGGGTCGCCAAGTGTACGGTATTGAACTGGACAGTTTGGTATTTTTGCCTCCTATCTGGTAAAAAAAATTCAGAAAATACGGGACACTGAAAATGTGTCTGGTATTTAGGTGTTCAGTATTTTCTGATTTTTTTTCCCAGCCAGAAGGCAAAAATCCCAGACACTTACCAGTTCCACAGGGGAGCTGTCCGGCCCGGCACAGGGAGGCAAGATGGCCAGCAGCGTGTTAGGGCCAAAAGCCTCAAAAGCAGAGTGTTTCTTAAAGAGGCCACACTGATTTTTTGTTTTTTTTACTTAACAACTCTTGGAGTTTTTTTTTTTTTTTTTTTTTCTTTCTGCTCACCAACTTTGGTCTCCCCCTTTTTTTTTCCTCAACAGAATTTTTTCCCGGTGTGTTTTTTTTGGGAGGAGGGAGGATTTGGTATTTTTTGTTAAACCATCTGGCAACCCTAGGTATGTCTATGCTATAAAATTAGGTAGAATTTATTGAGGTTGACTTTTTAGCACCGAAATTTACAGAGTTGAGTGTGCATGTCCTCACTGGGCATATGAGGTTGACGGAGTGTGTCCCTAGTAGCATGGCTACTTTCATCTTTAACAGACCCATGTACTGTGGGTAGACATCCCACAGTTCTTGCCACCCCTTTGCATTCTGGGTTAGGCACCCAGTGCCTGGTAGGACAGAAACATTGCAGAGGATGTTTCTGGGTACATGTCATCAGCCTCCCATAATGCACTTATCTCCTCCTTTCTCCCTGCTTGAAAGCAATGGAAAACAATCTTTTTGCATCCTTTTCCCCCCTGGTTATCCATGAAGACATGATAGCACAGCAAGCATGGATCCCACTCAGCTGCAAACTGCTGTAGAAAACATTGCAAACACCTCACACATTATGCTGCCATTCTTCCAGAGCCGAGCCTAGAGCCACCAGAACAAGGAAGAATGTGAAGAGGCCACAAACACAGACATGGCAGAACCCATTGATTGGACCAATTGGCATATGCTGGCAGCAGTGGATCCTCTTGATACAGTGGAATGCCAAATCTGGTCCCGTGAGACAAACACAGACTGGTGGAACCACATAATTGTGCAGCTATGGGACAATGACAAGTGGCTGTAAAACTTTCATATGCGTAAGGGTGCTTTCACTGAACTTTGTGAATTGCTTTCTCTCACCCTAGAGTGCAGCAATACCAGAATGAGGCCCACACTAACAATTGAGAAGTAAGTGGCAATAGCCCTATGGAACCTTGCAACTCCAGACTGCTACCCGTCTGTTGGGAATCAATTCAGAGTGAATAAAGCTACAGTAGAGGCTGCTGTGATCCAAGTAGCCAGGTCAAACAATACCCTTCTGCTAGGAAGAATAGTGACTCTGGGAAACATGCAGGACACAATGGAGTTCCCTAATTGTGGTGGGGCGATAGATGGAACATACATCACTCTGTTGGCACCCAGCCGATTTGTCAAAGAGTACATAAACCACAAAGGGACACTTTTCAATGGCGTTATAGGCGTTGGTGGATCACAAGGGCCGTTTCACCAACCATCAATGTGGGATGGTCGGGAAAGGTGCATGGCGCATGCATCTTTAGGAACTCCGGTCTCTTTACAAAGCTGTAAGATGGAACTTTCTTCCCAGACTGGAAAATTACCATTGGAGATATTAAAATTCCAATAGTTATGCTTGGAGACTCAGTTTACCCTTTTCTTCCATGGCAGGCTGCCTGGACCGCAGTATGAAACAGTTCAACTACAGGCAGAGCAAGTGAAGAATGGTGGTGGAATGTTTGTCTTTGGCCATTTAAAGGGGTGCTTTCAGAGTTTGACTAGGTTAGACCTCGGCCAAAGCAATAGTCCCAGTGTTGTAGATGCTTGCGGTGTGATCCAGAAAATATGTGAAAATAAGGGGGGAAAGTTTCTGGAGTGGGGGGGGGCAGAACAAAGCAGATTGCCTAACCACTAATTATGAGCTGCCAACACCCGGGCAATCAGGAGACTACATCAAGGGGCACTGTGAATCAGACAGGCTTTGAAAACTAATTTTGTGAATGACCAGACAGTGATGTGATAGTTACATTACTTATCTCTTAACAAGATTCTCCTGCAGTACATGTAGTGGCTGCCATTAGTGCCAGCATCGTGGGCCGTGGCCACAAGATCCTTCTGCACAACACACAGTGAACATTTGCTTCACAAACTGATGGCTAAGCTAGTGTGACGCGGGTCCTCAAAGAAAAATTCCCTTAAGCTTCAGCCATCAAAGCAATGCACATATTGGGAGGCCGTGCATATTGTGGAGCATTGTATGAAATTCATATAGAATCTGAAGAGTTTTAAAAAAGAGAACTGTCCAGTAACATCAGATGGTTAATCAGGCACTAGCTAAAGAAATTAAAGCAATGCATGGACTATGGATATTCATATCTGTATCAAAGCTCTGAAGATGAACCAGGCAGCAATGAGTTTTACCCGTGAAAGCTTATGTCCTAATAAATCTGTTAGTCTCTAAGGTGGCACAGGACTCTTCATTGTGTACTGGCCTGTAGACCACCACCTCCCCATGAAGATGACACAAACAATAAAGAAATTATGCATTTTTATTTAGGAACTACAGGGAGCAGGGCCAAAAAAAATTCAGGGCATGAGCTCTGATGACAGTGGAGGTGGAGGATGCAAAGGCAAGTGGCTTATTACAATCCCCCTGTGTAGCAATCAAAGCTATGGAATGACCACCTTCTATTCCAAGAGATATCTCTGGGATTTGAGTGAAAAGGCTGCCTGTGATTTCTTCTTCTTCCCACCTCCCTGCATTCTAGGGCACTTGGGAGAGGAGGCTATGGAATTTGGTGAGGCGAGCAGGTCGTTTATCATAGGGTTCAGGGGGACTCTCTGCTCCAGATGCTTTTCCTGCACCTCTACCAAACACCTCATCAGCTCCGTTTGCTCCCCCACAAGTCTCAGGATCTTACCCTGCATCTTACACTCATGTTCCCTTCATGCTCTCCTCTCTTCGGTGCATATGATCTGTAATGTCGTTCTCCATGAATTCATTTGTGTTCTGTTGGTGTGGGTGAATTGCATTTGCTCATTAAACATTTCATCCCATCTACTTTTTTTTTTCACCTTCTGATCTGTGAGAGTGGAAGAGCAAGAGGGCTTGAGGGAGTGGGTTGTAGCTGCATTAGGGGAGAAAAGTCAAGGACAGATTTTATAGAAGATACATTGTAAAACACAGAAGATTAACTCTTTTATAATGTGCTGCACAAAAGGCATTTGTTATGTACAAGGCCAAAGTTATTTTAAACGCTTACTAGGCAGGTAGACCTACAGCCAGGGGCAACTGGACTCGTTTTGGTGGCAGACATTGTAAGCAACAGATTGGAGTTCATGTTCTTTGGCTTCTGCTTTGGAAACATGTGCGCCAGAGTGCTTGTAAAGTACAGTCCTCATGACTAGCTAGGCGTCTGCGTTTGCAAAAGGAGACAGTGTTCACAAGATCCCTGAAAGGGGCAGAGGACTGGGTGGGTTTGTAGGGGCTCATGCGGTCAGCGTGGTTTTGCCTCTCTCCAGTTTACCTGTAAGCTGCACTTCTCCCTTCCCACAGTGACTTACAAGGAAGAGGGGAACCAGATGGGTTTGTAGAAGTTCGTGCAGTCAGTGGGTGTTCGCCAACTCCACCCCATATGCGGATATGTGGGGAGAAAGGGACCTGTTCTCCCGGATAATCCTTTCAAGCCCTTTCCAAAAAAGGCAGCAAATCTGGGGTCATGATTTGTTGGGGATGAGCAAATGGAGCTGGATTGCCTCATTGCTATCTGTTTACAGAGTTCCCCGTATTTCATCTAGGTTGCCATGCGTAATATCAGACTTCTTCAATTCAGAGTTCATGATAAGAAATGGATGCTGACTGAATGTGTCCAGAAATATGGACCTTATGCTGCAATGCTTTGATGCCAAATCACTTACAGCTGTCCTGGTGTCAAAAAGTGTCCTACCATGGAGGATGGAATAAGACAGACCTCCCCAGAAAACTTCTGTAAAGGATGAAAGAGTACCTCTATGGGACCTTTGGAGAGATGTGCAGGCAGGATTCCCACTCCAATTCCAGACACGTTAACAAACTCTTCTGGGGAGCCCCTTTTGTGTAGGCACAGTGGTTTTCCTGTATAGCTGGGAGAGCAGCAGAGTTGAAAGTGCAGGCCCGAGCAGTCACATTGGGGCACAATGGGACACGTTCCAAGTCCAAGAAAGTAGACTTTAACAGTGCTGCATCTGGAGTATACCACAGTAGAGTTGTAAAATCCCAGTTAATCAGTTAACCTGTTATACGTTATTTATTACCAGTTCACTGATTAAATGGGGGAGGCAGGGGCTACTCCAGCCAGGCCGACCTGCTGTGGATGGGGGCTGCTGCAGCCTGGCTGGAGCACCCCTGCCTGCAGTGCAGCAAGCCCCACAGAGGTGGAGCAGCCCTTTGCCCGTGGCAAGCAGGGGGCTGCTCCAGCCCCTGGTTAATCACAACCAGTAAGCATCACTACTAGTTACTGGTTAACCATTATGTCCTGTGTTGGTGGTCTGTCTTACTGGTTAACTATTCTTATCGCTATCCCAAAGTCAAACGTGCAAGGTTGAATTTAGCACTTCTCTCATCAAGGGGAGTACAGAAATCCACTTTGACCACCTTTAAAGTAGCAGAACAGGCTTGGTGGTGTAGACCCACTGGTTACAAAATCAACCTAACATGTATAACTTTGGCTTAACATAGTGTAGGCCAGTCTCTAGTAATCTTATAAAAAGCATTGCCATTTTTTTGCAAAATAACAAATAATAGCAATATAAAAAGCAAAAAGGTAGATTATGCTACTGTTTCAAATAATGGCACAAATTTTGATGTACATTTTTGTATGCATCTTATATACACAAATACTAGTTTATTTGCAGGGGGTTGTGCTTACTTCCTTTGGTCTTCATTTCATGTTATTCTTTTAATATTTTTCTTTATCCCTTACTTTCAATTTTTTTAAATAAAATAGTTGACATTTTTTCCAAGAATATTGAATATAATGGTTAGGTAGTTTTTCCAGTTATTTGTACGTTAACGTAAGTTCAGTAGAAGGACTATTGTGTGGTTAAGATACTAGACCTGTATTTAGAAGATCAAAGTTTAGTTGCCACCTTCTGCTGTAGACTTCCTTGATGACCTTGGTCAGGTCTCAATCTCTCTATGACTCATTTCCCCATCCATAGAATAAAGGCAGTGGTAGTTCCATATTTCACAGTAGTTTTGTGGGGATATATTTGTTAATACTTGTGAAACACTGATGGGAGCCCAGAGAAAGGACCTGTGAAATAAAAAATAGATAGCATCTGAAGTTTAAAAATAATCCACGAATTGATTTGTTCTGCCCAGTTTGAAGTAGTCCTGTGACTTGTTTCAATTGTGCATTGAAGCTGTAAATTCTTTCTTTTTGCTGTTGCATTGTATGAGTTTTGGTTTGGTTTCTAGTATGTGGATGATTAATGGCAAACCGTTTTATCTGCTTTGATGGGCACAGTAAGGATAAATAATTATCTGCAATGTAAAAGATGTTTAAAGTGTAAGCTTCAAGTTCCTTTACATAAAGGAATTTAGATTATGGAATTACTTTAAGAAATTTAGTAAAGAAAAAAATATGCATAGATAAGTAAGTTTCTGTAAGTCAAACTCATGAGTAGCCTCCACATAATTCATTATTAATTTATGAATTGTTATTATTTAGTATTTGGAAACTGTGAGTTCTCGACAGAGTGATATTCAGAGATTTATTGCTGAAGGTTGCAGAGAAGCTCTACTTGAAGAAAAAAGAAGATTCTGTTTTCTGGTTGACAAGCACTGCAGTTTAACTCAGCATATGCAGTTCTATCATAAACAGGTCAGTATGGCTGGAAATCTAGGTGGCATGAATACAAACACTCATAGGGCCTAATTAGGCAAAGTAAAACTCATAGGGCTTAATGAGGTAAAGCAAAACTCATCTCCTGAGTATATGATCAAGTCCATAAATGATAAATATAAAATACATTATGTAGCTCATGAAGATTGTGAACAGTTAATAAAAAATGAATTCAATATGGTATGTTCTGTTAATTTTATTACTACAAGAAGTAATGGATTACTATGACTAGAAACTAAATATTATTGAAAGATTTATGGGTTGACAGAATAAATATTCCAATATCTCAGTCTTGCAATGGGGCCATTATTTCTATCACATAGCTTTGCTTTAAATTAGTATCTAAAAATTGCCTTGCAAGAATATTTTATATTAGGCTAATTTCTGCTGTCTCTTGACACATACAACCTCATATACATCATTGAGGTTGCACTGATGTAATTAAAGACAGACTGTGCCCCCATTGCAATTCAAATGTTTTAACAAAAAAAAAGTTATGTAACTTTTTTCATTGCTTACAGTGTGCAGATTTACTTAACTACAAGTTGCCGGGATGGCAGGAAACATGTAGTGATGCCACAAAAGTTCCAGAAAAAGTTATGAATATGATAGACGAGATGAAGACACCAGGTTCCACTCCAATCTCAGGAACTCCACAACCTTCACCAGTGACAGAAAGAAGTAGTACGGTATGCATTGGTTACAAGTTCTCAAGGTTGGATCGACTCCCCTGATCTCTTTGTGTACAGAAACATTTGGACTCAAAAGCTATAACAAACAACCCAAATTATGATTCTGGGATTAATTACAAATTCGAGCCTCAGTTCAATAAAAGATTAATCAGATAGACTTTTATCTACACAACGCCCTATTGACATCAATAGGGACGTACATGGATACAAAGATCTTTTCCACAGAATCACTTGCAGGACTGGGGCCAAGTTTCTAACTTAAGTGTTTCATTCATGTACTTTCTGGGTACTATATATAATTGTATTGGATATGCCATCACTATTATTCTCTTTTCAATCATTTGAAAATAGTAACTTGAGAGGGGTTATTTTTTTAAGTCAGAAAAAAATTCTCTTGAAGTAAATTATTGTGTACTTAGATGCTCTATATTCCAAGCATATTTCACTATAGTATGGTTGTTGTATGATACCTCGTCAGTTGAGTTTCAGGCAGAAACTCAAGTATTTCTTTAAAAAGATTTCCCCACAGGGGTCTGAACATGAAATCCTATGGAAAAGAGGCCTTATTTTTCTTGGCAGCCCAGATACATTTGATTTTTGTTTGGTTGGGATTTTTTGGGGGGGAGGGTTCAGTCAAAGAAATTGGGCAGTTAAGGACCATTCAAAATTTGAAGCATGTACAATAGAAGAATATTTGATCGTTACGTTTTGGAATTCAGTGCTGCAAATATTCTAACCCTGTCATTTTGTTACTGTGATAACAGTATCTTAATAACACTTTATGTCTGTAGGTTGGAAGAGTACCCCCTGCTCCTACCATTAAAGCGCATACTAGTCCTTTAGTTGACATGTTTAACAATCCACCACCAGTTCCAAAGGTTTCTTCAGAAAGATTACATTATTCAGCAGGTGAGTTACTATTTGTTGAAATGTTGTTTTAATGTAGAAGGTGGACTTCACTTTCATCTTGCTACTAATATACAATAAATACAAATGACATACTGTGCTGTTTATCCAAAATTAGAGTAGCGATTTTAGCTACTGAAGTAGTCACTATTTTATATATATACTAGAGGATTTATCTGGCCTTACTCAGGTACTTACCTGAAATATTTTTTGTTTCCTTCATTTAAATCATTGTTCTGGTGTGAGGCTGTGGATGACAGGTTCAATATGCAGGCTGTCCTGGGGAGAGAGAGAACAACTCGAGCCCTCTCTCACCACAGCAGCTTGGGGCCGGGTAAGAAGTGCCTGTCCATGGGTGCTGCAGTGAGCACAGCCTAGCAAGGGGTACATGTCTCCCGAGTGGGGAACTGACAGACATATAGAGACCACAAACAGACAAACTCTCTCAAATATATAGTAAATAGCTGTCCCTTTACCCACCCCTTACTGCCCCTCTATGGTCATTATACAGTATAACTGTCCCTGCTAACAGCCTTCTCTCTTTCTGTGTTATGGAAAACACTCGCATTCCAGGCAAATCCCATTGTTGTGGCACAACCAAACCTTTACCTTGCTTTAAATTATGATAAGAGGAAGTTGCATACCAAATTTAGTAGTCTTAGTCTTGCTGTTTAGGAGGGGTTATTGAACAAAGAGACTCATGGACAGACACACAAACTGTCTCAAATATATAGTAGTTTATAGCCAGGATGCAGGAAAATCATAGAGGAAAGAAAACTTGCCATTCTAAAGTGTTCATGATATTCTCAGTAAAAAGATATTTCAGTAGGTAATGGTCTACTAAGAAAAAATACTGAAGGGAAAAGGATGTTTTGTGGTAAAAGCACAAATGAAGAGATCTGGATTCAGTTGTAATCTGTAGAACTGTGTGCAGATACAAAATTTGTATCCATGTCTGATCCGTGATCCACAGACATGGTCCAGATGCAGATATCTGCAGATTTGCAGGGCTCTATCAATCTGTCCATTATTTCCTGATTAATTGAGAGCAAGGCTCAAAAGGGGTTTTTCAAAAGCACCTAATGTTTGAATTCAGTGGAAGTAGATTTAAGGTAACAGAGACTTTGAAAATCCCACACTTAAGTTCCCCAACTATAAAATGGTGAAAAATACGAGTGTGGTGGTGGTCCACATTTATTTAATACCTTTTAAAGTCCTTGAAATTCTCTAGTGAAAGTATGATACAAGTTTTAAGTATCATCCTCATCAAATACAATATTTGGTCAGTCACATGACTGTGACTTTGCTTTCTTGGTATATTAATGTGCCATTTTATAAAGCCAAATGGAAATTGCTAACATTCCTAATATAGCTCATTCTCTCTTTAACCTGAGTGGTTATTTCAGTGCATCCAAGTAGTAAAAATGAACAAATATTGCATGATTTAAAAAGTGTGCCAAAAGTATCCAATAGTTTTGAAAAATAAATGTGAAGGAAAATTGGGTCTACTACTTCATTATTTCTCTCTGCTCAAATGGAAAATCCCATTAAGATTTGGGAAATTCGGTTAAGATTAAGATGTGTTGAACAAAATTCTTCAAGCTAATCAAAATAATTCTGGATCTCCTGCTCTAAAACAAACTATTTATAGCAGTTATGTCACTGAGAAAGTTTTGAAACATCCCTATAGTTAAAGTAATGGTCTGATTTTTCAGTGATGTCAAACTCCTAAAACTTTCACTGACTTCAATTGAAGTTGAGTGCTTGTTACATCTGAAAAATCAGATTTTATAGGCCTTTAGTTTCTGAACACAGATCCAAATCTTCTGGAACCAGAAATGACTTTAGCAACATCCAGTCACTAGAGAAAACCAGTTGTGGTAATTAACGTATGTACATGTTTCATTTTTACTAATTTACTGTGCAATAACAGTACTTAGCAGAAGGAATAGTGTGGTAATGTGAAGATTTGAATTGGAAACTGTTGAACCGTGAAAATAGATAGTTTAAGTGTGCTGTTTGGTGGAAAATGTTGGTACTGCTGTTGTACTTGTGTCTTTTAGGCACCTGTTTCATCCTATGGTTATTGTTACATTGATTTTTTTTTTAACAGGTAATTCAAATGATGCCAGTTTATCACGTTCAACTTCTGTTGCCACAGGACTGAACATAATGAAAAGGCAGAAAGTAAAAACTATCTTTCCACATACAGCTGGGGCTAACAAGACCTTACTTAGCTTTGCACAGGGAGATGTCATCACACTTCTTATAGCTGAAGAAAAGGATGGCTGGCTTTACGGGGAACATGACTTGACTAAAGTGTAAGTCAATCAATGTATTAACCTATTCCAGGATTAGAGGGGACAAATATATCTTAATCTCTTTTGTCTGTTTAAATTGGCAAATGTGTTTCCCTGTTCACTATCATTCATTGGGAATTCTGAGGGGAGAGTTCAGCAACTGGGAAAGTGTTACAGTGAAGGCAAATTTGGCATACAAAAACAAGTACACATACCAAAACCCCTGAAAAAAGTGTCACCAAAAGCCAGGCATAAAAGCTAAAACTTCATTCAGCCTTGTTAGCTTCCTATTCCTTTCTGTGCCATCAATTAAAAGTATAAACATTCAAGTAAATCAATCAGATTGTCCATTTTTCTCCTTCTATAGGAAAGGATGGTTTCCATCATCATACACAAAGCTATTGGAAGAATCAGCTGATGAAACAGGATATATTCCAGTGCCAAGGTAATATTGTTAGTTGGAGTTTGAACTATTTAATGATCCTTAAACTTTACAAAAAGTCTTTGTCCCAATGTCACACTCAGCCAGTGATAAAATACCCAGTCCTATTTTGTTACAAGGGACAGGTAGGTGGGTGCTGTTTACCAATAACTGATGGAAGAGAAATCCTTCCTTGTATAAATATGCCTGTCTTTCCATTCCTTTCCTGCCTGATGCCTGGGGGTCCATACCTACTCACGGTCACTTCCTTTTCTCCTGTTTGGCTCCTCTCAGTTAAATCCATCCCACTCATAATCCGAATGCAGTAGGACTGTTAAGTTTTTATCTGATTTTTTTATAAAGATCCTCCACATTCAGTTGAGGTGTGCACATTTGCTAATAAACTTTTTTCTTCTTAAATTAATTTCTCCTAGAGATGTATTGTTCAGAAATGTGATCTATATTTTAAATGTTTCCTAACATTATATGTTCTTTCTTATATGCCTTAATTACACACCATCTTCTTCCACCCAAAGATTCATATGTATTAAAAGTAATAAAGAGGTAGCTGTGTTAGTCTGATCTTGGTAAAACAAAAGGAAAAAAAGTATGTAGCACTTTAAAGACTAACAAGATAGTTTATTAGGCGATGAGCTTTCATGGGGCAGACCCACTTCTTCAGATCATATTCTGAAAGTGAATTGGCATGACCATATATAACAAAGGAAAACAGTATTATATATGGTAATGCCAGTTCACTTTCAGACTATGATCTGAAGAAATGGGTCTGCCCCATGAAATCTCATCGCCTAATAAACTATCTTGTTAGTCTTTAAAGTGCTACATACTTTTTTTTCCTTTTGTTTTATCATATTTATTAAAACACTTGAAACACATGAGTAATCCCACTGAATTCAATGGGATGAGTTGGGTATTAAAAGCTAAACACGTTTTTATGTTATTTGCTGAATTAGGGCCCTAATCAGTATCGTTTATTGTTTTAATTAAGTTATTTTTTTCCTTTTAGCCCTGCACCAATCAGAAGTATCAGTTCTGTAAATCTAGCAGACAAAGGTGGTGTTGTCCTCCCCCCACCAGATTATCAGGGATCCTTGCAAGCAGGCACAACGAGAGCAGATTCTTCCAAAGCCACTACTGTTATGCCATCTGCGGCCAGACCAGAAAGCACAACTCCTGTGAGTGACATTGCATTGCATTTAATCAGTTATCATGGTTCCAATTGTTCTTTTCCGACCTTATTGTTGTCAAGCCACCTGACTGAACTCACTGGCTCAGCATAGTGCTTGATCTTGTTCACCCTTGAAAACTACGTATGCATGTGCCTCATCAGCCAACACACCACTTTGTGTCTGGGCATAGGGGAGCAAGCATTCCTCCTTTAGCAATTCCTGCTCACAGCCATTGCAGCCCTATGGTAGGGTACCTTCTACAGCTCAGCTCTCCAGCCAGGTCATAAATGGTTCTACCTGAAACGGTATTCCCACAAATAATAATTCATTGGCCTTACACTAGTATCAAGACGTTTCAGTAGTCCTTACCTCTGCACTTTCGTCAGTAGGCTAGTAGTGGGGACAGTAGTCCCACTCCCCCCTTCTCCTGTGGGTTCCAGTCCTGTGCATTTTAATAAGAAGCCAAGGCCTGACTACAGAGACCCATTGCTCCATCCTTGGATCACTTTCTACCTGTCCCTGTTCAGAGTCTTTGCCACAGCCTCTTCTCAGACTCAAAGCGTATCCACTCCTCCCTCTCCAAACCTCTTCCAAAAGCTTACTGCAGTGCTTCTTAGAACTTTCAGTCACCCAGCTGGTTCTGCTTCAGGAGAATTTGCTCTACTGTCCTAACAGGAGAATCCCGGGCCCAGCCAGAGTCTTCCTGCTCCCCATGGGCCTCTTCACCAGCACCAAGAACCCTAGGCAGACTTTTTTCCACTATCCTTCCTAATTTACCTTTCTTCACACAGGCTATGGAAAGCTCATTACTTACATCATTTTAAAATTATAATAGTCCAAGCAATTGAGAATAATGAGCCTTCAGAAAGGTCTATGCAATCCCATATACGTTAATGGTGTTGTGTGAGTGTAATTGATAGCAGAATATTGCCAATAGTCTGTAAAATAATCCTACGCTGCGGGGGGGGGGGGGATTTAGACACATGCATTAAGGCTCATATCCTGCAAACACACAATATTGAATGGCATGAAATGGTTTCCATCATA